CAAGGAAGCGAAGGAACAAGGTTATAAGTACGCCCAAGTCATTCATCATCAGAAAGGGGAAGCAAATTCCGAACCAACAGCACCGACCCAAGAGGGACAACCCGGACCACTCAGAGTGGCTGGGTCTCGCCAATATCTTAGAAACTTTGAGATGGGACCCATCACCTACGAGCTCAGCCTAGTAATGACTGCACAGACAACCTCAAGACTAAAAAGACAGGGAGAAGAAGGCTGCTGAAATCGGCGAAGGCTTTGAATGGTTCTTAGACCTATGCACGTTCAACGTTAGTTCATGAATCATCGCGTGAAAACGCAGTGTGAAGTCATCCTCCTAGGAGTCGAGTGGTACAAGCGAAAAAGCATGAAAACGTCACGTAATTGATGAGAGGGAGATTCGAACTCCCGCCCCCGAAGAGACCAGATTACACAAGTACCTGTTCCAAAATACCTTAGTCTGGCGCCTTGGACCGCTCGGCCATCTCACCATATACCAGGTCTTTGAGTTCTTGGATCCCGAGTACAGGGGGGTGAAACACCGATCGATGGTAAGAGTGAGAGAGTAAGTCGGGAAGTAGTCACAAGTTATGGAGCAGGTTGGTAATTGCAGGTTGGAGCTCCTGGAGGGTCGACGTAAGAGACGTCCATTGAGAACTACTACGCCGCACAATTAGCTACCGAAACGAGCAATTTAGAGTGTTGGCCATGGAAAGTGCTGAAGACTGTCACAAAACGGTTGACAAACAGATGTTGACAGATTTTGAGCCATTGATGCAATCACAAGCACGTGTCCTCACGGCAATCAAAATCCCCGAATTCCGCGGCCCATCCTCCTTAATCTGGGATTCTTACGCACTGACAATCTGATCTAAAGTCTGTTGAGTCACCTGTATGGCAATTAATCCCTCCGGGTAGATGGAATGGGACACAACCGTGGTCGGAATTTCTTTGATAGCTGTCCTTCTGGAGCGACGCGGAAGAGTGAATCACACGATCATCGAAAGCGGATGCATTGAACTTGGTACAGTCGCGTGATTGCTTCAACCCTGTCTCATCCTTTCCCCTGTCGACTATTCAACAGATTCGATACTTTCATTTTTATTATAGCTAAGTCTGTAAACGCAAACTAGACGTATAAATTGATCTCAGGATCTTACTCAAACCGTTTATCCCTATACCATCATGACACTCCACCTGGCTAACCATGAGAACCTTCCTGCATCGCCTCGCTTCCATCGGTCCTCATCGACATCCACCGACCCCACGGAAACGTTAACGTTGCCTATGCCAGTGATCAAACACTACTTAGTCAGCAAATTTCAATCTATAAAGCTATTCCAGGCTAGATCTATCTTACCATCCGACCCATTTTCCATATACCGACCCCCACGACACATCAAGTCCCAGTTCTCCTTCGTCATGCTAATTCCGTTTCGTTTGTAACATCCCATCCTAAATTCCTCAATGTATGGCACTGAATTTCAATGGTGGTCATGTTCGCTACATCAAATGAGCATACATTCCATTGGACTGCCCTTAATGACCTGAATTAGACGTTTCTGACACAGTTGTCCGTCAGACCATTCGCAGTTGGGTATAGTCCGGAGGAAGGCATGTGGCCTGCCAATATTAATCCAACACCTCGATTGACCATTCCTTTTGTTTCATTTCACTACAATCTTTTCAAGAAGGTGACTGATCCGCCTCTTGTGATCTTGAGGGGCCTGATACTGCGTTCCGACTTTTCGGTGGATGACATGACTTTCCAAGAATCAACAGGCAGTGAATTTGACCTCGCCACATGTAGCTCCGTGGCAGACAGGTAGTTTTTCATCTCGTACTACGTCTTCGGACAGACCTTTTTATCCGGCTCCCCTTTATGGTGTCCTCAGAGCTCTTGATCATCCTGATCATGACAACTACTACATACAAAGCCAATGTCTCTTTGTTGAAGTTTGGATTGTGTCACCCTTCTTCGATGATAGTCTCCTCATACTGTCATATTAAATAACTGTATGTCGAGAAAGCGGAGGATGGAGGTCCTTTTAGAGAAGAATGAATTGTGAGGGTATCCGCTAGCGTCATCGCCGTTCTCGTTTTACATTGAAGCGGGAAAAGCGTATACATAGCATATAGGGATCGAGGGGGGGTCCTTCAGATGGGGTTACGTTCTAATTGATCGAGTGGGGATCATTCCATCTGGCGATATGACTTGATATGACTTTTTTCTTCCCTCTCCTTCCCTGGGACCCTGGCAATCCGTCTTCTGGTGTTCGCGGGACTCCTGATCCTGACATACTACAACAGTATCAATAAGATAATTGAAATTAGACTTCTGTGAAGTTGAAAGCTAAGTGGTGGTAGCACGTTCTCGCAGGTGTGGCGCAAACAATGAATTTGCCTATTCTTCAATGTGTACTTGTGAATTTGTTGAAGCTAGTCTGTTAACGTCCAGAGTACAAGCTGGGATAATTGAAGAGCATGGCTTCGATGCCGGGCGGACGGTTTATACGGGTGGCGTAGCCATTCCGTCAGGCCTCAATGATCCGGTACAGTGACGGCCGTGTACAGAAATGGGCTAACGGTAGAATTGGTATAAAGTATCATCGATCCATTCAATTGTCATCATTTTGCATTTGACTGGTCATTATATGCCTCATTCATATGTTTCTTGATGCTTTTGTGCCCGAAATCGTATATACCATCGTGTTTTAGAGGAATCGAGAAATGATGAACAAAAATTGTCCCTTCAAATCTCCAAATCGTGACATCAAAGAAGTTTCTTTTTTTTCGTTTTCCGTGGGTTATCGCGTTGAAATACCCTTTTCATACTATTTAAAGGAATAAAATATCATTTTGGAACATTTTTGCCAGCGCGTAATGGAAAAGAATTACCTATTAGTTTGACCTAGCACCCGTATGATCGTCTACCCGTCGACAGCCGTCGCCGTGCTCGTCCCGTAACCACACAAGGTCGACCGTCAAGACCCCGACGAGTATGCGGCCGTGCCCGTATGACGGACTGCCCTAATGCCGGGGCGTTTCGTAGACAAACGACGGAAGATCTTGATGGGATTAGCGGGGATCAGTGCTAACCTTGCCCAGCCTGAGGAATGGAAGGTGACAAATCCTAACGATACTTGAGAAATTTTCCCATTCTGTATTAGCGTTTTCAGATTGCCTGGTGTGAGTATCGTGCTATATAAGATCTTCATAGCGTTTATTGTTCTTCAGTACCCAATCCTAAGAAGTCTCTGCTGGTCAGGACCTTCTCGTTCATCAACGAAACTCACTTACATTCTTGTCTGCGACAATGAAATTCCTCTACGCTGTCACAATCTCATTCTCCATCCTCGCCGTCATTTCTGCCGCCCCGTTGCCGCCTGGTGCTAGTGACAATGGCAATCGTGCCGCAAGAACTCCCAGTCCGCCCCCTCCCACCCAGCAAGTAACACCAAAGCCAGAGGATTCTCCCTCTGTTCCTCTTCCAGGCCGTACTGGTATTTATACAGACGCCGTTACAAAGGTCTCGACGCTGCACTATGGCGACGACCGTGTACCAGAACACATGGGTCATCTTCAGCGTAATCAGGAGAAATATCCACACAATCGAGACGCTATGGCTCTTTCCAGCAATCACGATCTCAACAGGTCAAACGCGTTAACAAATATTCCACCTCCCACCAACCACCCCGTTACGAATAAAGAACGGGTGAGGGACGAAAAGATGCCGGCCATGTTGCATAACCCACATCATGCAACTTCCACTACAGTCGAGCATCTACATAGATATGAGTCCAGTGAGTCGACGGTATTCAATCACTCTACGGGTGGAAAAGCTCACCTTTGAGTCAACAGATATCGAAGGTGGATACACAGGCAATTTGGCTGGCATGATGAGGAAAGGAGGACCGGATTCGAGGGCGAAATTGAGGCCAAATCCTGGATGGCTTCCCCTCGACCCAGATCAACATCGTGGTCATGAAGCGCCTGCCAAATTGAACAGCGAAACCAGAATGCCCGCGGCTGATCCAAAGAAAGCGGGTAAAAAGGTGGAGACCAAAGCGGCGGAAGCTACGCGCAAGGCAGCGCAGGAGCAGGGGTACACACCTCAAGCCGGTACTATGACCCTTCGTCACCGTGAAGGGAAAGCCGATCCCAAAAAGACAGCGCCAACCAAAGAGACGAAGCCCGCCGGAGAAAGTAATCTACAACCCGGACATGTACTCCCGCCTGGCCACGTCTGGAAACCTACAGACGGGTCTAAATCTCCTTCCCACGCTGGTGCACCTGCCCAGCCCAAAGATAGCGATCAGAGACAACCTCCTCGTCCTCAGGACCATGATCACTACATGAAGCAGCTTCAGGAAAAGAAAGACGAAGCGGCAAAGCAGAAGAAAGCTGAGGCACCAGTGAAGGATAAAGTGGTACATGTCCACGAGTCAGCCAACCACAAAGCGTTCGAGGAGAAGTTCGGGCCTGCAAAGAAGGGTGATGGAGCAGGACGATCAAATGAAGCACCCGCTGAATTGAATTCTCCTAAACCTGATCACGAGCTTGGGGTGTTAACGTTACCAACGCGCCCAAAGCCAAAGGCCTAACCTCAGAATCCTGTCTGGTACGGAGGATTTAGGTGGATGAAGGAGGTACTTAGATAGATGTAACAGATGTAGTTGCCAATGAAATTTTCAGGGTCCAGATTGATGAGCGCTGAGCGCCTAAATTCCAAGTCCGAGCA